CTCACAAGAATGATATGCCACTCAAATACATAGTCTAAGATTCATATCAAGTAGTAGTTTTGAAGCATTGATCTGTGTTTTGTTAAGTGTCCAAAATACATTTTTGGCCAGCGTCTCCAGATATTAGTAAGCTTAATTAACTTTACCCACATTAGCAACCTTGTGATCTTTGAGAGCCCCTGAAAAGCTGTGTTGTATGTATTTTTAAACTTCACTGTAAAATACAGAAGGGATTCACAGAGGAAACAAGCCATTATCCTGTGATAGCAAGAACAGATGTGTGTGTATAATAAAAGCCTAGGACAAATAAAAGATGTGGAGTAAAAGATAGTTTGAGCACCAAAATATCACCATTACTGGTCACTGAAAATTATGTCACATTTAAACTGTCCTTAAGAAGAGGCTGTGCTTCCCCATCCTCCTCCCACACCTCTCCCTACCAGTTTACCTTTTTGGCGTTTACACAATCAGTTTGGATTTTTTATTTTATTTACTTTGCATTTAGAATAAAATTAAACCTGTTCTGTTGCTTTGCAATTATCTTTGACAAAATTAGGGAGTTCTCAGCAATTCTCACTTTTAAAAGTTAACTATACAGGGAATTGGCTTAATAAAAAGGCAAGGAGTTACTGCTTTTTTTTAAAAGGTGTTTTATTTCCTGAGTTTTCTTTAAAAATGTTAGGAGTGTGAACATCACCCACCATTTTATAGGCACTTTTAAGCATCTGTGGTACTGTATATTGTATAATTTGAGTTGGTTTATATGCTTCCTTCTCCAAATTAATTCTTATTAATTATGTAACCACGAAAGCAGACAAATTTTACATATTTCCCACACTTTCTAAAATTACTACTGTATTTATTGATATTTGTAATCTGATAAGAATTTCTAGAATAAAGACAAATTTAAAAAAATACAGGTGGCACAATCAACTATTCATAAAGAGGGGTTATAGAACTGAGTTCACCAAGCTTGTGTGGGTTTTTGATGGAATTTCTTCATTTCTCTTTTTGTATTCATGTTTTCTAGGCCTGGTTGCAGTATGCCTGAAATTTGGGATGTCGAAGATCCTGCTAATAGTGGCAAAATTCCTTTGTGTACCCTTATGAGCAAGGATTCCAGGCCATATTTCATCACAGTATTTGAAAACAGCAATTACAGAGTCTTGAAGATTCCAAAGGAGTAACATTTCAATGCAAAGAACCATGAGTCTTTCAACTTTTTAAACTAGTAACTATAAGAATTCTAAATCGGAAATACCTTTTCTACTAGACTTAAAATGGAAAAATGTGTATTTTATTTTTTACCATTTTAAGTGAATTCTGATTATAGAAATATCTTAAACCTAACAGTTTGGATTTCTATTTCAGGGTCAGTCCCTTGAGATTTGCTATGCAAATGATTATATGTTTGCACATTTTATTTAACACTGATCCAAAAAGAGTTAAAAGTAGCTATGGGAAGTAACTCCATTCTCAAAACCAACGATATTGTGAAATGGGACTGTCAGAATGTCTTAGCAAAGGAAGTTTGTTTAAAGCTTTGGTGCTAGCAGCTAGGAACAAAGGAATGGTGCTATAGCATCTGGCATCACATTTCTCATGTCACTGTCATTACCCATCTCCCTTCTGGACAAGGTGATACTAGAAATTCTCTTAAAAGTCATGTAGTTTCACTAGTCATGTCTGAGAGAAATAAATTTTTTCTTTGAGAGGACTAAGAACATTCTTCATTTTGGATGTAACACATGCTTTTAAGCTTGCTTTTGAAATGGAAAAGTTTATAGGCAGACTTGAAACTTCATTATTTAGGTGCATGTTCTTGGGATCTTACTGATATTAAAAAAGATGACTAATAAGGGTAATATTTGCAGTGAGCAATAGTTTAGCTTCTCAGTGTCCAAGGATTTTTAGCATTCTTACGCATTCAGAACAAGCTGGCATAATATACATTAAATTTTTAAGGGAATATGCTTTATTCAGGAAAAATCTGTCATAGCCTTAGAAAGATACTAAAATAAATCCTTCACTGCCTTAACTAGACCTTCAGCGCCTAACTTGATAAGAAATTACTTTCAAAATTTATCCCCTATTTTCTTTCCCCGTGTACTAGATCCTGCCTGAATTTTTATCATCAGCATTAAAGAAACATGAAATTTAACCAAATTGTGATATGGGTATAGTCAGTTGTGTGGGTATAATTGCTCCAACAATATTAGACTGGTTCTGCAGTTTTTGTCATCTTGGTGTCACACCAATATTATAGGTAATAAAGAATTTAGAGAATTCACTTTCCAAGATACCCAGTGCAAGGACACCCATTCGTCATTTAACTTGACTTAATAAAATTTTTGTATGTTTATTGCCATAGGGAAACATCACAGTAATTGTGATTCTACAGTATAAGACTTCTAAAGTCCAATGTTTCTCTGTGTATCATTCATGTTTCTGTTTTGTTTTGGCTTGTTTTTTGTTGGGTTTTTTTGTTGTTGTTCAGACATCAGTCTATTGATATGACTGGTCTTTTTAGTCCTGATGGCATCTAGCAATATTAGATGCTCTAGGGATATAGCATCCATCACACCTATAACAGTATCAGTTAAACGGGAGCCTATGATAAAGTAGTAGTGTAACAACTGATCAGTATTATAAGACTTCTTATTTTTTTAAAATCTGTATTATTGAGAGGGTGAGGGAGAATGGCTGAAAATGCATTAGCTTTTTAACTTTTACAGAATAGATTTTGGAAAAATTTCTATAAGGAAACTATCACAAAAAGGGCTTTTGGGAAGTCACTTTTTAAAATGTCAATTGAATTCAAGGAAGCAGGAAAAAATCTTTATATAAACATTGTGACTAGTGTTACAGCACAAAAAGGTACTGTATTTTTATGAAGTTTATGCCAACTGTTGACATGTACTTATGTGGTTAAATAAAAAAGAAAAAAATGGAAATTGTTCTCATGTTTCTGATGGAGGTTACATTTCTGCTCTTATGTCTGTTAAACTGAAGTTTAATGTAGCATCTACAGCAGATACAACTGAAGCTGAACCCTCAACTAAACAATGCACAGCAGTGCTTCAGACAATTAAACCAAACTCACACACTTCTTTCTGGCCTTCTTTTTATTTAGAATATTAGTGCAGGAATATGTAAAAAGACAGTAAGAAAATATCAAATACCTATTTACCAAGCAAAGTGAACTTGGAAGGCAGTTCAAAATTATTCTCTTTATGTTCTAAGTTTCTAAACTCAGGTAATCAAGAGTGAAGCCCAAGTACTGCTAGAATGAAGAAACATTTGAAAGTTAACGTTCAAAGAAGTACTTTAGTAAAAATGTTCCTCACTTGATGAGGAGACGGCTGTTACTGAGTACATGGCCAGACACTGTTTGTAAATTTTCAGCTTATGTTGAGGGATATTATAGTCCCACTCTTTGAACTTGTCTTAAAACCAAATAATTATTGTCATCCAATCTAAAGATGTTAAAATCTAGTAATGGAAAAATATGAAGTAAAAAATGCATTATGTGATTGTGGGGAAGAAACGTGGGAATTCTTGAATTGAGTGTATCATGTTATGAATTTCTTGTCATCTCAGTAATTTACTCTCAATTCCAAAGGAAAGAATATGAGTTTAAATAATACTTTACCCATATAAGCACCATGTTATCATTATGATTATCACTGCAACTTGAACCAGAAAGCAGATGTTTGAGATTTTTTAGCTCTCACTGAAGTTGTTTTTCCCTCTGCAAGATCCTAATAAATAAGTCTGTAACTCAAGTAAGTTCATTTTTAAATATGTGCTGGCCTTGACGTAGTTTAGGCACAGGACTGGAATCATTCAGTACCTGAAAACAGTTTCTGTTACATTCGAGTAATATTGGATCATACAGATTTATTCGCTGGAATCTGAAGTATTGCTAGCTTTGAGTGCGGTAAATTTCTTCAGTACAATGGCCGCAATTACAGTTTGATATCAAACTTTTGATAATTGTGCAAACTGTAATATTCAGTATGGAGACTAAATGAGGCACCTTTGTGAAACAAAGATGCAAAATCCTGTTCAGTACTGCCTTGCACTTCATCATTGTCATCTACCATTTAAAAAAATGTCTTTGCTTTTGCCTTTTTTGCAGTTCAGCTTAAACACTGAAGCTGAATCGATCAGGATCTCTTGAATTTTCATGATCAAGACAGAGTTCCACAACACAGGATTCGCTCCAAGTGAAGTAAAAAAAACTGCTTCAGCAAAAGCAAATATGTAAGGAAGAGTATAAACAGGGCTGTCAGAAATCAGCATTGTTGAAAGCAACTACAAAACACTAATTATGGCTTGGGACCTGTGTTTTCAAATTGCATTGTTGTGTAGTTTCTCGAAATGCTGTTGTTTCACCTAAGTTAACGTAATGCGGAGGACTGCAGTAAAACAACGTAATATTTTTAAACCCAAAAGAATAAGTTGCTCCTGAGTCATTTCAGCAGCTGGACAAAGGAATCCGAATCCTAACTGGTAGTAGTGCTTTTCGATGTAAGCTTCATTGTACTGTGAGGAAAGTAGGATGGCAGATGTGCTGTGAAAGGAAGGCTTCACTTTGAATATTAATAGAGTTTAGATGTTAAGGAATAATTATACTTTGAGTGATATTAAGGCTGGGGACATAAAATGGCATGCAGAGCTTCTAAATCTGAGAGCCTAGTCAGCTGTGCAGGAATTGCTTGGGCAGTGAAACCTTTCAGTGCTACAAATTCTCAGCTGTAGCTATATGACATGAGCACTTCTATTTCAGTACAAAGTCAAAGTTAAACATTATGATAAGCTGTCTGTTGTAGAGCTTTAAGCTGACCTGTTGGGTTGGAGCAGAGGAGTATAAGGATTTACAGGGTTAGGCAGAATCTCTTTCCTTCTCAGCAAATTGGCTTGTTTCTGATCTTGTGCTCTAATTCTCCATTACTGATGAGATTCATATAATGTCTGAAATAGTCAGTTGAGTGGGTTCATCATGTAGTAGTTCAACTTTATTACTTCCTATTACAGCATATAGAGAACATTTATTGGCAATAAATCATGAGATACATACATGCAGAGTGAATGAATATGACTGTTTTCATATCTAGCTGAGGACTCGGTCAGGATCCCTGTGGCCAGTCTTCCACTCTGTCAAGATTATCAATGTATGAAGTGATTCTTGAGTGCACGCGGCACTTGTTTTGCCTGTTTGGCAGGAAGGATGAGGTCTAGCTCGTAGCCTGAAGAATATGAAAACTTACTGAATCTCATTTAAAAGTAATACTGAGCCTGAAACAGGACAGCCTCTAAAGGGAAAACCTCTGTCCTTTTGATGTTCATCTGAAAGGAAACAAGTCACTAAAGTTCACTCTTCAGGCTTGACCAAGCTTATTTGAAAAGCCAGTGACCAAATTCTTACTTTTATTACTAATTATTGCTGTGATTAGACACCTGAGCTGTATCATCTTCATGTTACTGAGCAACTGGTTGCTCAGCTTGTCTGACTACAAGTCCCTGGAGTGTCTTAGGATGCAGTTAGCAAACGTTATTTGCAAGCAGTTAGTGGTTTGCTGTAGATATCTCTGCCTGAGTTCTGAAAAATACCCTAGCCTCTTCTAAAGTATATACCTTAACTATTTCTAAAAATCCAGCCTTTTTTTTTTTTTTCTTAGCTAACAGTAGCAAAGGCTGAAAATACCTCAGAGTAGGATGCCTCCTATTTTTTTCCTGAATTAGTTTCATGAGGGTGCTTGAATTACTGCCTTGCTTTTCTTTGATTTTGATTATGAGAATATAATGCATCTATATTTGGAGAAGTTTGTCTTCCACTGCTCATAAAAAATAAGCTAAAGTTAGAATCAAGCTTAGAAGCTGGGTAGAGTAGAACTTTTCAAATTCCTGAAGTATTTCAGAGGCCATTCAACTCAAAATGCAAGTTCTATAAAGGAGTAGATGTTTTCTTTAACCTTAGTTTTCTTTGTTCTAGTTCCTTCCTGGATTTAGCTGTAGTTACCATGCTACAGACCACTGCATACAGCATCTTTGATTTGATACTTTTTGGCCATTTTTGCATTATTACATAATTTAAAAGGAATAAATATTTTGAGAAGGGTGAAATGGTTAACAAGATGATCAAAAGTAATTGTGTTCCATGACTTCTTTAATCTTGGAGTTTATTACCCCCAATGCTTAAAATCAAACGTTACTCAGCAAGTGGTGCTGTCAGAATCTGTAACTAATTTTTAAACAAATGAGGTTTTGTCTGTTTACGTGAATGGTGGCAGGTTTGTTTCATCTGTTAGTTTTTTTGCCTGAAATAAAAAGGGATTGTAAAGATGCCTTTGAATTAGAAGCCTGTGACATGCATTAACTTCCTTTGAATCCTCGA